ATAAATCATAATCTCTGCCTGTAGTTAAAGAGGATTAGGGTGGGACATAACACCCTTGCTCAGGTCACATCCCTGATTCAATGTAAAGGGAGTTTCCCTGGGGTGTGGCCTGCACCACCTTTTATCTTACAAGAGATAAAAGGAAAGGGAAGTAGGCAGAGAGTTGGGGACCTCATAACACCAAGAAAGCAGTGCCGGGAGCAGAGCCTGTCCTTTGGACCCGGGGTCCCTGCGTGGAGAAGCTCCTAGTCCAGGGGAAGATTGATGACAACGACCTTCCTCCAGAGCCGATGGAGAGAAAAAGGCTTCCCCGGGAGCTGATGCCCTGAATTTGGACTTCTGGCCTACTAGACCGTGAGAAAATAAATTTCTCTTTGTTAAAGCCATCCACCTGTGGTATTTACGTTATAACAGCACTAGATGACTAAGACAATAAAAATCACCTGGGGATGTTGTTAAACTGTAGACTCTGATTCAGTATATCTGGGGTGGAAATGCAAATTCTCAGCAGGGGTTCGAACTGGACCGAACTGGTTCAAAGCCCTGGGATAAAGCAGGGGGAGCCAATTTGGAGCGGGTGGGAGTGGGGAATGCAGAGCTCCCTTGATGCCTCGTTTTTCACTTTAAATTAGTGGTTCAGTCTAGGTTGCACGTTATAATCACCTGGGGAGGTTTCTGACTCATAGTGACCCTATAGAACCGAGTAGAACTGCCCCATAGGGTTTCCAAGGAGTAGCTGGTGGATTCGAACTGTCAACGTTTTGGTTAGCAGCCAAATGCTTAACCACTGCAAATCGACTTGATAGCAGTGGGTTTTGGTTTTTTTTTTGGAGCTTTTAAAACAGCCCAAATTGGGCTCACCCCAAAACAATTAAATCATCATCTCCAATTTTTCTTAAAAAGTCACTGCTAATAGTTTGATGGATTTCAAAACTTCAGGGTAAATAAAGTTAAACAAATTTCTCCAAGTCCATTCTGGAGCCCCCTCCCCATAATAAACCTAAGGAACTCAAGAGAGTAAGACAGCACTGGGTCCCCAAAGGGGAAACCAAATCCCCTTATCCCTTCTGGTCTCCTTTCCCACTCCATGCCTGATTTGGTTTGGCTGTAACTCTTGCTGCTCCTGATTAGGCACAAGGGTTGGAAGGTCACTTTCCCTGGGCTCTTCATGATGATGTCAAGTCCATGGAGGTTTCTTCCCCATTCGCCCAGGTGCTTTCTGCCCTGACATCTCTCCCTGGGGTCACTTTAACTATCTCCACTGTGATTCACATCTTAGACCAGCAGTAGAGATACACCATGATGAAATTTAGCACAGCATTTCTGTCTTTCTCCACAAGACATAATAAAAGTCATCTTAGAAGATATATATTTCTCCTGCTGAAAGAGGAAAATGGATCCAGTTCCAGAAACTTTAGAAAGGAAACCCAAAAGCACATCTTTCTTCCCCTATCGTTTCCATTAAGTGATCACTCGGCCTTGGCTCTGGCCCATGAACCTGAGTTTTAGGGGTGGCTTTGATGGTCATAACCATGACCTCTAACTCTGGTCTAGTATGTTTCCTGATGGAAACTACAATTGATTCCCTTTGCTCTGCACTGCCCTGTGAAGTCTATTTCATTTTATTTTTGTGTTGCTCTATTGTGTTTAATGAAAAACTTTGTGTGAGCCAGAATTAGGAAGTGGCTGTTTACAGCTGTGTTCTACGAAAATCACAGTCAAGGATTAGAAACAGAAGTCAAATTGGTAATATCTGTATTGGTAACGTACGAAAAAGAGATTCACCTCTCAAATGTGATGTATTTTAATCCTAATTTGCAGTCTTACCTTTTGATGACATTGTATAAATTACCCCTGCTTGCATTCCCTGTCCCCCCAAACAAAGGTATGTGCTCCTGAGTCTTGCTGGAGAACATTCTGGAATCAGTTTGGTACACTTTTCAACATATTAAAACCACCCAGTTGCCGTTGAGTCGATTCCAACTCATAGTAACTCCATGTGTGTAAGAGTAGAACTGTGCTCCGTAGAGTTCTCAACTGCTGATTTTCTGCAAGTAGATCGGCAGGCCTTTCTTCCAAGGCACTTCTGGATGGACTTGAACCTCCAACGTTTTGGTTAGCAGCCAAGCATGTTAACCGTTTGCACCACCCAGGGACTCCTTTCAACATATTACTTTCCTCTTATGCTCCCACTTTAGAAAAACTAGGCAAACATTTGCCCATTAGTAGGCAATAAATATTTTAAAAGGCTACCACTTGCTTCAAAAGCAAGACTGGAACTTCAGGCTACTGAGAGAGACCTTTATCACCAACCAAACCAGTCACAGTGTGACCAGTAGAAGGAAGGAGGTAAGTAGATCACCCATTCTGATTCTTCTCAAGGAGACTATTTAATCTTGTCATTTCCTTTTAAAAAATGAAGTTAGAAGGATCTTCACTGCCAAACTTATTACTCCCTTTATTCATCCCCACGCTGAGCCAAGGTCTGGCCTTTCCCTAGCAACCTCCGAGGTGATAGGCAACCATGGGAAGCCTATATATAGGGCCAGCAGTCTAATGAGCATATGTGGGAGTTAGGAGGATGAAGGAGACTGGCCAGTTAGATCAGTGGGTTAAGTTAGCAGGTGGTATTACTGAGGTTAAATCTTGGGTAACTCCTGGCAGCCACTGGTAATTTACTGTCTTAATCCCAGCCAGTTTCCTTCCAAATACCAGGCCTGATCGTAAGGAGAATTGGAAGAAAGCATGCAGATGGCTGGAGAAGTCAGGACACAGAGTCACTGAGAGTCAGGGTCCAGCATCACTTTCCTAGGCATCATTTCCTATAGAGGACTAAAGCCATGTCTCCTTTCAACTGAACAACAGGACTGATTGGGCATGGTTTTCGTCATTGGATCCCAGCAGTTTGGATTTATAAACAGGGGAAAGCTGTAATTCTGACTTGAGGGGATTCTTGAGGCTGGAAACGATTCAGATTCATGTCCTCACTGAGACTGGGCAGAAACAGACACTGGAATAGGTGAATGCCAACCGGAGAAACACGGAACTTCCTTTTAGAACCCGGATTGTGTTTAAAAAGGAAGTCGACCAATTAAAGCTCCCCGAATTGGCCTTCTGGCATCACACAATGGCGACAGGCTCTAACTCTGCCCCTCAGCTCCTTGAATAAGGGCACTCTCATCCCAAAGATGCTGACTGGGAGGTCTGGGAGTCTAACTCAGGCAGCTTTACACGCACTCAAAGAGCTGATAAATTAAGCTACACAAGGAGCTAGAAATAATTCATGATAATAAGCTCTTGCATGTTTACTCTAAAATTATGCTTTACAAAGTGCTTTCTAATACTCTTGGTTCTTGAGAAGGGAGGATCCTCTTAAATCTGTTTTTAAATCTATAAAATACCCAGAGTCACAACATTTTTTAAAACCAGTTCTTTAAGATACGTTCTCGTGAGCACATAATGGCAACTCTATCAATACTCCTTATAAGTGAGGATGGCAAGACTTTGGCTTGCTTACTTTGGGCATGTCATCAAAAAAGACCAATCACTAGAAAAGAACGTCACGTTTGGTAGAAGGTCAGGGAAAACAAGAGAAATCCTCCATGAGGTGGACTGATACAATCGCCACAACAATGGACTCAACATACCAACGATCATGAAGATGGCATAGGACCGGGCAAGGTTTTCATTCTGTTATATACAAGGTCACCATGAGTCAGAGCCGACTTAATGGCAATTAACAACAACAACAACAAATCAATGCAGTAAATCATTGGAAATAAAATTTGTGATCTACTATCATGCAGTTTCTTGACCACCGTTCATCAGCCATGACTTTACCTTTGATGTCCCGTAATTTCATATATAGTGCTTCCCATTGATAAAACTGGATATGACATCTCTGTTAAAAATAACACCACAGCAACAATGCCTACAGCATTCTCAAACACTTACTAAAAATAAGAAGTCTAGATACATGTGTAATAGTTACAGAATACTAAATATATGACTATTTGGAAACATCTAGATAGTTGCAGTATGCTGACTCAGCCAAGGGATTATCGAATGACATGTCAGTTGGATTACTGCCTTTGTTAAAGCTTCGTGTGGTTGCAGCTAACATTCAAACTGCTAGCAACCATAATCAATGAAGATAAGATTAAATAAACACATCCACTGGATAACATCCACATGTTTTGTAAGTCAGCAACTCCACCTTCCCCTGGTTAACCTCAATACCAGTTGTTGGGCTAATGCTGACATTCCTTGGTTACTCTTTTTATCTTTTCCACAGTGTTATTTGGTTCTTTGAAAGCTACTTTGCTTAATATTGTTACTAAGCTGGTTTCCATATTAGCTAGCAAGAGTCCCTAAGGTCCCTGGGTGGCACAACTGGTTTGCATCAACTACTAGCCTAAATGTTGGCAGTTTGAACCCACCCAGTGGTGCCATGGAAGGAAGGCCTGGTAATCTGCTTTTGTAAAGAGTACAGCCAAGAAAACCACATAGAGCAGTTCTACTCTGTAACACATGGAGTTGCATGAGTCAGAATTGACTGGATGACAATTTGTTTTTTGTTGTTGTTGTTGTTTCCTTTAGTTTACAGCTGGCTTGTAGCACAAGGACACACTAAATTAAAGGTCCGATTCTTATAGTAATACACTTTTTACCAAGGGGCCCTGGTGGTGCAGTGGTTAAGCACTTGGATGCTAACTGAAAGTTTGGTGGTTTGAACTCACCTTGGCTCCATGGGAGAAAAGACCTGGTGATCTGCTCTGGTAAAAACTGCAGCCTAGGATACCCTATGGGGAAGTTCTACTCTGTCCTATAGGGTTGCTATAAGTAGGGATCGACTCAAAGGCACACAACACCACCACTTTTTACCAAATGGCCAGAGCAACATGAAGAAGGGTATTTTATACACCACAAATCTCTTCAGCCCTACCCAACAGTGAAAAGTAACGCCACCAGTTAAGAAGCATGCTGGATGTGAGTGGTACCTTTGTGACAGACAGTTCCTTGGATTTAGATTCAAACAGATGCTCCAGTCTGGAAGTGTCCACTTTAATGGGTTCCAGTTTCGACCACAGGAATTCTCGGCAGCGTCGGTTGTTTTTACACGGCCACTCAAAAGGCCGAACTTCGTTCCAGAACAAACGGATGGTCTTCTTTTTCTTAGTGAATGCTGGCTGACCCCTGGGTACCTGGGGCCACCCTAAGCCCTGAGGAGCACTGAACACTGGAGGAGGGGCCAATAAATTACCGGGGACTGGAGGGGGAGGCACGCTGTCCAGCAGGGGTGGAGGGGGTGGGGGCGGCAAACCCAGGAAGGTGGGTGGGGGTGGGGGTGGCGGCCCTGGGGTCTCCCTGTGACCCAGGTCCACGTCCAGGACGTCAATGTCGTCCTCCTCCCCCAGGTCAGTGAAATCCATGTCTTGGATTCTGAGCTCCCGTGGATTGGCCATGAGCTGGTCCCAGATGTAGTCGGACTCTGTCTTTGGCTGTGCTGGGGCTTTCTCCGGAACGCTGTCATTGGGCTCGTCGTCGGGAGAGATGGACCCTCTCCCCAGGTCCCCGCTGTTGAACTTCTCGGCAAAGGCTTTCACACTGCCCCGATTGTCCAGAGAGCCAACATCCACCCTCCTGACGCTCTCGTCCTGGGCCTGTGAGTGGGCCTGCAGGGTGGATATCCTGCTAGCAAGGCTGGCTACCGCCTCCGCCCCCTGCTCAGTCCTCCCCGGCTCGCCTTCCTCCTTCTCCTCGTCATCTGTGGGCTTTCTATTATGGGCATACAGCATGTCCAGCATGAACCGTTTGTTGGTGAGGATGTCGCCACACTGTTCATTTACACCTGCATCCTGAACACTCGAGGACCACAAACCTGGAAGTGTATAGGAGAAAAAAAAAAAAATGAGAAAGTGGCAGAGGCCTCATACCATGAGAAAATCAACTGGGCAATCAGTGAGCTTTACTAAAAGTAGTGACTCAGAGAAGACGTTGAGATAATGCAAACAAAGCATGTGGTGGCAGTCATGGCTGACAGGGGGCTTGAGATCAGGAAGAGATGCTGCATCCAAGTCCCAGTGACCCACAGAGGACACATGACTCTTTTAGGCATGATGTTACTCAAGGCTCCCAGCTGGGTTCATGGGAGAAATTCCTCACCGTTCCCTGTCACCCATGGGAGCTGGTCTGTACTACCCAGCCACAGGTAACTAAGGGGCCTCTGTTCTAACTAGACACAGAGAGGCAAAGGAAGATGATTCCTTGTCAGGCACTGGAGAGGCTGTAAAGTAACTTCTGTTTCCCCCCTACTCTGTACCTGCACCACAGCAGCTCAAAGTGCCTAGAGGAAAACACAAAGCATGCCATTGGTTGCACTTGAAATTCATGGTCACTAGTTTTCCAAAGAAGCCCTGGTGGTGCAGTGGTTAAGAGCTATGGCTGCTAACCAAAAGGCTGGCAGTTCAAATCCACCAGCTGCTACTTGGAAACACGACGGGGCAGTTCTACTCTGTCCTATATAGGGTCGCTATGAGTCGGAATCAACTCGATGGCAATGAGTTGTTTTTTTTTTTTTTAGTGTCCCAAAATCAAAAAACAGTTGCCATTGATTCAATTCCAACCCATGGCGACCCCATGCATGTCAGAGTAGAACTGCACTCCATAAGGTTTCCAATGGCTGTGACTTTTCAGAAATAGATCACTGGGCCTTTTTTCCAAGGGGCCTCTGGGTAGACTCGAATCTCCAACCTTTCAGTTAACAGCTGAGCATGTTAACTGTCTGCACCACACAGGTACTCCTCGCTAGTCTCCAGGGAGCCCTTCATGGATGACACTGATGAAATGTCTGATGAGCCATTCCCTCCTAGAGGACTTTCTCACATTGCTGGTCTCTCCTCTAACCTCCCCATCCATCTTATCCTCAGGGATGGCTTTGCTTCTGTTAAACTGGCAAACTAGGAGGGACAACTTAGTTTACCAACTTAATGGAAGTAGACAGAAGAGATCTTCCAGAGCTTCCATTCTACCTCCACTCACCCACCTGCATCTGAGCCCTAACTCGTGATATCTCTCTTGTGACTATGTTACACTCTCCCTCTTAGCAGGGGTCAACCACTCCACTTGTACATTAGAAAACAACTCCAGCAATTCTCCCCTGTATCTCCCATGCTCCTCCTACCAGATCTTTCCTACTGGCAAATAAACATGGTATAATCTCTTCCATCTTAAAAAAACAAAACCTCTTTTGACCCCACTTACCCTTCCAGCTATCACCCAACTTTTCTCCTTTCCTTTAAACTAAAACTGCTTTAAGAGTTGTCTTTACTCATTGTCCTGAATTTCCCTCTTTTTGTTCTCTCTTGAACCCAGTCTAATGAAGGTTTTACTCCCATCACCCTTTGAAGCTGTACCTTTCAAGGTGGCTTTCAAGTTGCTATATCCTACTACATTGACTCAGCTGGTTGCCTCCTCCTCCTTCATGTACTTTCTTCACTTGGCTTCCAGGCTACTGCACTCATCTGCTCTTCCTTCTTTCTGGCCACTCCTTCTCAGTCTCCTTTGCTGGTCCCCCCTTATCTTTACCCTTTAAATGTCCTTATATCTTTTCTCTGCATGTACGCCTACTCTCTTCATCATCATCTCATCCAGTCTCAGGGCCTTAAATATTATCCATAAATGGATCTTCTGTCCGCTACCCCCAACCCCCAGTACCCTCATGGGAACTACTTCTCTTGCTGTTGTTTCCTGTCTTGACTCCATCCATCTTGCTGCCAGCTGCAAGAACCTTGGAGTCATTCTTGACTCCTCCTGTTCTTTCATATTCCACACCCACTGCAGCAGGGCATCCTGAAGGCTAAACCTTCATGCTATATCCAGACTCCAGCCACTTCTCTCATCACCTCCCCATCACAACCCTTGTCAAAGCCAGCATGGTTTCTGCCTACTGTATTGCAGGAACGTCCTAACTGGTCTCTGCTTCCCCTCTTGCTCCTCTCACTTCTTAACACAACAGCCACATGAGGCTGTTAAAATGTCTGATCATATCTTTCTGCTCAAACTTTTTTAATGGCTCCACATTTCATTCAGAGAAAAAGTCAGTGACCTTACAGTGTTCACAAGGCATCGCATGATTCCACACCCCCACCACGCCCACTCACACGTAATCCTCTTCAGCCACAGTGGATCCTTGCCATTCCTATCGCTAACCAAGCATGATCTGGTCTCATGGGCTTTGTCTCTCCTGAGGCAAACTGTCCCCAGTTAATCAATCACATGGCTTGCTTCTCTACCTCCTTTAGGTCTTTGCTCACATATAGCATCTTCTCAGTGAAGCCTTCCATGACCACCTTGTTTGAAACTGTGCAACCATCTCCCCAACATTTGTCTATCATCCTTTCCTGCTTTATTTTTCACACTAACATTTATTACTGTGTAATCTTCCACACATTTTATTTATTTATTCTGGAGGGGTGGGGCCAAGATGGTGGAGTAGTCAGATACTTCCTGTGGTCCTTCTTACAACAAAGACCCCAAAAAACAAGTGAATTGATTATATAAGACAATCTAGGAGCCCTGAACAGCAAAGGCAAAGTTGAGAAATCAGACTGAGTGGCAGGGAGAGGGAGAAATGGTTTGGAAGCAGTGAGGAGTTGCCAGACCTGACCCAGCAGGAGCTGGCACCCTCCAGGCCAGATCGGCTGACATGTAGGGTGAGGCAAGCAGCAGAGCTTGGGAGGCGTTTTCCACAGCAGGAGAGACCCAGCAGCAGAGAGACTACTCAGGCCTCCAGAACCAGTGAAAAGCAGTGCTTAATTGGAAAAAGATAAGTACTTGCATCTGACCTACCGTGAGGATCAAAAAACACCCTCTTTGGCAAAAACCTCTCTCCCATTTACCTGCCCCCTCCCCACTCTGCACCAGGTCCTGGGCCAGCTTCAGTGACTGCCAAATCCCCTGGGCTGGAAGTAGGACCTGTCACATGTCCTAAGCCATTCTCCCGGCCTTGGAGAGGGAACAAATTAACAAACAGGAAAAAATAATCTGCCAACTCCCCTAAGCCAGGAACTCAGGGTAGGCGCAGCTCCTCTGCCTGGGCACAGGCATAAGGAGTCTACAGACTTTGAATGCCCTTCACCTTTGCATAGACCTGTGTGGGTCCATTTCAGCAGCGTAGGCCCTCATTACCAAAGTACAATAGGGTATATACCTGAAGCCTAACTTCAACTGTATCAGCTATATGGTGAAGTGGCAGGTTCGTGACATTTGACATTCCCATGCTCATTAAGCAGGGTCTTCACCTACCCGTATCAGGGGCGCAGTGACTGGTGGCTCCACCCACCCACCTAGCCACCCGTGACAGGGGTCCAAAAATAAGTGGTGCCTCCCAGTCCTTATAGGCAACAGCATTGGGTGCCCTTAGTCTGGCTGCAAAACCCACCCACCTACGTGCTCTAGGGAACAGGGACACACTTTCCTCCCAAACACTCAGGGGCAGCTGTCAGCCCCCTGCCTTGCTCAGCATCTGACCCCCTACTGCAGCCAGATACCTGTGCCTACACCAATCACCTCTGTCTGTCTAGGACTGTAGGTGAGAGCCTGCACCACACACTTGGTGACTGACTACCTAGACACCTGAGATGAATCCATACAAGAAAAGTAAACAGACTTCTGGGCTCACATACCTAGTAACAGATCTAGCTACCTGGTGACAGGACGTTAGAGCTTCAAGGGCACCAGTAATCAAACTAGCTCACATGAGCAGCCTATCTGGGCATATCAAAAGAAAACAGAACAAGAAGCTAGGACACAGTAAGCAAACATAAAATAAATAAATATAATAACTTATTGATGGCTTGGAGACAACAGTCAATAACAAATAACATAAAGAGGTAGAATATGATGGCTTCAGTAAGCTCCCAAAATAAAGAATCAAGAAATTTTCCAGAGGAAGAGAACTTCTTGGAATTACCAGAGGTAGAATACAAAAGATTAATATACAGAACTCTTCAAGAGATCAGGAAGGAGATCAGGCAAAACGCAGAACAAATCAAGGAACATACAGACAAAGCAACAGAGGAACTTAAGAAGATTAGAGAAGAGCATAATGACCAATTTAACAGGCTGCAAGAATCCACAGAGAGACAGCAAACAGAAATCCAGATTAATAATAAAATTTCAGAATTAGACAACCCAATAGAAAGTCATAGGAGCAGAATTGAGGCAATGGAAGTCAGAATTAGTAAGATTGAAGATAAAGTACTTGACACTAACTTATTCGAGGAAAAATCAGAGAAAAGAAAGAAAATGAAGAAACCTTAAGAATTATGTGGGACTCTATCAAGAGGAATAACCTATGAATGATTGGAATACCAGAATGGGGGGGGGATAACAGAAAATACAGAGAGAACTGCTGAAGATTTGTTGGCAGAAAACTTCCCCGATATCATGAAAGACGAGAAGATATCTATCCAAGATGCTCACCGAACCCCACATAAGGTATTTATTCTATTTAATGTGTGCCTTTGCCTCACCACTGGAATGATTATAATTACATCATTAAATGTTTTCTTCACTGAAATGAAAACTCTCTGAGGGTGGGGATTTGGGCTTGCTTTGTTCATTTTGTATCTGCAGCCCCTAGAATGACTGACTGAACAAGTGGTAGGGATGCATTTCCTCTGGGTTTGGTTCCTGGGGGCTGGCAGGGATGTGTGACGGGCTCTTCAGGATGTGAGTTCCATCAGATAGCCAGGCCTCCATGGGTACTCATGTTAGCATGTGGCAGGAGACCGAGGCCATGGAGTCAGCATTAGAAGTTTTCATTCTGTCAAAGGATGACACCCCTATCAAAAACACTGAGGAAGGACACTAATCTTT